TTTTTTTTTTTTTTTTTTTTTTTGAAGAGATGCCCAAAATATTTAAATTGCACATGGAAGTAGGTGCTGGTGTTAGAAGGAAGGCTCAGCCTAAAGACCTGCCTGAAACACTAAGTCCTCTTGGTCTCCATTTCCATTAGAGCCACCTACACCCACATTGAAGCCCTGCTCTGAACAGAGCAGACTGGGTGTGCAGACTTACCCCACTTCACTTAGTAATTTGAGGTCTCGCTACCTTTTCTGGCCATAGTCCTTCCATTTTTGGCTCCACGACAAATGGCAAAATGACCATCTGCCACTAGGATTTCACTAAGCCTTGCGTCTCTGGCTGGTCCCCAGACTGTTATATGTGGCACTTGGTACGTGCAGGCAACCACACTAGAGAACTGCGAGAAGCAGCATCTTCTATGGGCCAAAGCACAGGCTGAGGGTCAGGGATCCTGGAGTACTAACTCTGGCTGCACTGCTGACTCACTCCGTAAACTTGGACCGGCCAAGTCCTTGCCTCAGTTTCCCTGCCTCTGAGATGTGGATGCTATTTCTTCTCTTGCACAGGAACGATGGATAACCAGTGTTTAAATAGCACCTTGGAAGCGCTGCCTCGGGACCCAGGGGCTGGACACATTGCAGGGTTTGACTCAGGGCTCCAGAGTCAGCTGCAAACACAGAGGAAACAGATTAACCTTTCAAAAATCATTCACTAGCAGCAACATTTGTGCTAGTGCTGGCAGGGGATAGCTAAAGAGACAGCCCGCTGCCTGCTTTGGTCATACTCTTACTGCAGAAGACGTGCAGAGACAGTCTGAATGGAAAAGCACAAGTCCGGTAAGACACCTGCTCCCCCACTGAAGAGATCCCTTGGTCACCACAGGGTCCATCAAATGCTGAGGTGGGTCAGAGGCTACTGTTCATGGTCACCTCTTTCTTCTCATTCCAAGTTCCTGGGATAGCTTTGATATCCATGAGCTCCTCTTTGCCCATTGCTACTTCCACCCCATTCCTTTTGGCCATGATCTGGTTGATCTCCACGAAGGTTTTGTTCTTGGTTTCAGGAACAACGAAGATGTAAATGCCGGTGGCCAGGCAGATGACGCAGAAGACAAGAAAACTGTAAGCCCCAAGTGCTTGCTGAAAGAGCAAAGCCGAAGTGAGAAGTCAGGTGATGCTGAGATAGGGGCTCAGCAGCATGGGGGCATGAGACTTTGGGGTTCAGGCTTTACTCACCTCCATATAGAGGAACACGAGCCCCACAGTGAAGTTGCAGAGCCAGTGTACAGATCCACCCACCATGAATGCTGCAGGCCGGGATGACTGAAGAAACATCTCAGTGATCAGTACAAAAGGGATGGGGCCTGAAGGGAAAGGAAGTGTTTGCAGGTTTGAACAGCAGTTTCCATTGCTTAAATCGCTAGAAGTCTTGGCGTGATGGAGGACAACAGGTGCTGAACCACCAGCCCGGATAACCCAGCTGGAGGATTAAATTAATAAAAGTAGATGGTGATGACGGTAACTAGACCTTATCACCATTACAGCATCAGCTGCACCTCTGTTCCCATCTGGAGCTGGCTGCATGCCTTCACCTGGGCTGGGACACAGCAGCTCTCTCACTTTCATACTTGGCCATGGGCTGCAACACCCTGGTGGCCAACTTTGCTTTCTTAACTGGTCCAGATAGGCTTGGCTCCTGTGGGCCTCAGTACACTGAGGGGTTGTGATTCTGGTCAGCGGAGGGCAGTAGGTCATGTGCACACGAGCCATTTCATTACAGGGTTAATCACCTCCATTTTTCAGACAAATAAACGCACAGCGCGTGCCTTTAGGAGACTTGCCCAAGTACCATTTAGGAGACAACTGCTATCTACAGGTCTCTAGAGCAACTTATTTTAGACTCAAGGCACCACTCCATAAACTTAAGAGGTCGCTCAGGAAAAGTGAGCTTAGTTTTCACTTGCTTTTTAACTACAGAAAAAACAAAGCAGAGTAATTCTTCTATTACAGAGGAATTAGAAAGACCTCAGGAGGTCAGCATGTTTTTGACACTATGGATTCCCATTAGAAACCTCTGGGCTTCTTTTGTGGATCAGGTTTGCACACCTAACACTGCTGACATTGTGTGACACCCTACAGCATCCCTGAAGCAATTTAAAGGTATCCCAAAGTTGTGGGGCATCCTGGTTGAGAACCACAAGTCTAGAGAAACTCCTACAGCTATTATCGAGGCAGCCCTGGTTTTTCAAATTGAAATTAGCCCTTACATGTACTCATTGGGAAATGGTGTGAGAGATCACCGCACTGCCCCTTTGCTGCATAATGAGGTAAAGCAGCTCATTTTCTGTTGCTCATCTCACACTCAACATGGACTCATTTGATGGGGTAAATTGTCTTCTTTGAGGGCAACCAGGTGGCAGGAAGGTCACTGCTCCTGCCTCCTGGTGGAACAGACTCTCGGCCACACAAAGCTCTGAGTGCCAGCCTAGCCCAGTGACGTATTTACCAAATGGCAATGGGAAGCAAAGGGAAACAGGGCAGATGGAACTGTTTGCTGGCCCAGAATCACTGAACGTTCACAGCCGAGGAAGAAATACATCGGGAGAGAGAGGAGAAAAGAACCTGCACTTGCCCTGGCTAGCAACCCTGCGCTCTGCACTGAGCTGCGCTCCAGGCCTGTTGGACTGCACCAGGGGAGCAGGAGGGAGGAGGTGGCAGCAGTTTCCAATTGCCAGTGAAGCCCTCCTGGAGCTCAAAAAACAACCTGTTGTAACATTCAGAATGGCTCTGGCAGGCTCCTGCTAACAGGCACCAAGTGCATCAAAACCATGAGGTCAAGTTGTGCTTCCAGCTAGACATACACTCCTCCCACCCACTTCACAGCCCAGCCAGGGACACAATGAGGCTTATAGGAGGCAGGCGTTGAGCTTCTCATCATCCTACTTGTGCTGTATAACTCCAAGAGAGCCGCATTCCTGCAAAGCCAGTAGGAGCCACCCTTCTCATAGCAAGGTCTTTGCAGAGCCTCTAAAAATAAGACCTTCTTTATCCACACATGCTCTGGAGATCCTCCTTCAGCTTAAGGGTTAAGAGGCCTGCCTGTTTGAAATGCGAGGTGCTTCGCCCTGTCTGACGCAGTCTGCATCAATATTTCTAGGTCACATGGCCATTCAGAGATCTAGGGATCAGTCCCCCAGGATGGACGCATGATGTTTGCATCAGGGCAGTCTGCCTTTATGCAGGTAGAAATATGGAGCAGATGCACAGCTCTACACAGATGCAGATTGATCTATTCCAAGGTGAAGTTACCCCTAGCCAAGTCAAAAGGAACTATACTCTTAATCTCAGGCCATCATTTGATCAATGCAAGAGGTTGCCAGCAAAATCCCACACGTTGGTGAGGTTTTATAACTGCCAGACAGCTGCCTTAGCTGGGGGTCTGTCCTGCCCTGGATACCCAAGGTAAGTTACAGTGGTGTAAAGGTGTCATGTGTCCACACCCCTTGTTGCTGTTAACGCTGCAAGTAACACACCGCCCAGTTGTGCCGACATAGGAGATCAGACTGGTCCATGCATACTTACTTGCCCCAATAGCATGTCCGATGATATAAGCAATGACACTGGCTATGCTGATATACGGCATCCAGGGAACACTGGTCTGAGGAAAGTGAGTCCCTGGTTAGAGTCAGTTCACATCTAAAGCAACAAACCCAGGCTAGGGTTTGCCATGAGATTTTGGGAAGCTCTAGCCCCTGGGAATGTTTCCTGTTTGGCAGAGTTCATAGTGGTGGAGAGTGTGGACTTGGCAGTGCTGGTATCTGAACCCAGTGCCTTGTCTGGGCTGGAACCTCAGTTTGCGTGAGCAGATGCAAGAAATGCACATTGTGGGCTCATCAAGTGAGACTATGCAGCCAGAGCCAGCCACACTGCGTGCAAGCTGCTAAGTTCTCTCACCAGAATGAGCCCATCCATGTAATCAATTGTCACCCTGCTTTTCCAGCAGAATGATTAGTCTCCTACAGTGCTTGCTCGTAACTGCAGGGGAGTTCTTATATATTCTCCCTGCAAAGTGGGGAGGCAGCTTTTGAAATGCCAGCCCTGCTCACATCCCCTCCAAGGTCCACAAACACACGGCAGCCATCGGCTAAGCTATCTCGCTACAGACCTGGAGGTTCAGGGCCATCGTTAGCACGGCGCAGGAGATGCAGCACATCCCAAAGCCGACAAGAAGCAGAATCCTCCTCCCTGCCATCTCAATGATGAAAACCTGGAGGACACAACAAGAGGTTAAGTAGGGAGACCTTGAGGGAGCCAACCAGGTCTTCTCCCAAAGCGAGGAAGAGGCCAACAAGTTGCCAGCTTAGTGCGGTGCTTTCTGAGCCAGGGCCTGTGCAACCTCTGGTGAGAGTCATAGTTTCAAAGTCCTTTGAGTTAGAAGAGGAAGGAAACTACTGAGTTCTCAAAAGTTGTAGAGAGGTGTGCTTCAGGAGTTACTCTAAGCCCCACAGAATAGGGTAACGGTAATAGAGGAAGAGGTCCCCTCTTGACAGGACTGTCCAAGACAATCCCAGAGGAGTCCACATCGGGATAGACGTGTCCAGAAAAATTCTCCAGAGGTTTAGCTGTTTGGTGTTTTTTAATAGAGAAGTTTTCATTTTCGGTCAAATCTCCTAGGGTCTCTCTGCAATGAAGTTCCCATGGCAATCATGTGCCATGGCAACAAAACCCCCTGTTTTGGAAACCATGTAAATAATAAACATGTCCTGAAGTGTGGATAGAGGCACCAGAGCAAGCTTCACCTTAGCACAGGTGAGGCTAACTGTGCTAGCTGCCCTGGGCTTGCCCAAGGATTTTACCTAGCTTTTGAGACAGCTTTTGCACTCACCTTCGTACTGCAGGCACTGCATTACTAGCAGTACTCAAGCCAGCTGTTTTAAAGCTCCATCTGAGCTGCAGCCCCACCATGGCAATGATTTGCCATTTGCTGTGCAGTGGGGGAAGTGATTTGAGCTTGTGGGGGGTTTTGTGACTAAAACCAGAAAGGGAACAGGGAGGGAATTAGAAGCTGTAGGGCTCTGGCAGATGCTTACCGCAAGGCAGGTCATGACCACGTTGACGGCGCCTATGCCCACAGTGACGTACTGCACTGCGTTCACCTCCACGCCAGACGACTCAAAGATTCTGTCTGCGTAGTAGAAGACCTGAACCCAAATCACGCCTGTGGTTATGCATGGCCATGAAGGGTAGGGGGAGACCCCCACTTAACCAGACCCCAAACTCTCCTATGCTTTGGAGAGGTGTGCATCTGGATCCAGCCACTGTGGTCAGCTCCTTTCCCCATTAAGTGACCAATGACCAAACCCTGAACTCCAGAGCAGAATCTTCCCAAATGTTAGCTCTTTGACATGGGGCTAATTTATCCATTGCCAGGGTCTAGACTGGACTTGTGCCCAGTTGAAATGGGCTCCAGGACCATCCTACCCCATGTGCATTAGGGTGGCCTTTCTTCCCCCACCTACCGCGTTGACCCCAGAGAGCTGCTGCCCCATCATCATGACAATGATAGAGATGAGCTGCCACCGCAGAGCCTGGAAGGTGCAGAGGTTCATCACAGATAGGCGCCCTTCCTGCTTCTCAGACTGGTCTTCTTGACACATCTCCTCAATCTCATCATCCACATTGTCCCAGCCTCTCAACTTCTGCAGTGCTGTGTGAGAGGAGAGAAGGGAAAAGTTGGGCTTCCCAGGGGTACACAGCGAGGGGAGGGGACTGGAGTAACAGACACAAGAGATGACTTGGGGTGTCCCAGACAGGGCCCATTGGCCACTTCATGGTGGGAAAAGCAGAGTGACTGGCAACCACATGGTAGGCAGTGGTAGGCAGTCAACCTCCCACAGTGGGGACAGGTCAGCAGGTCCTGGTACAAATAAGCCAATAGAGGAAGTGACATGGACCAGTGTTCCTCTCCCAGAAAGGTTTTTTATTCTGGTAGCATTAGGCAAAAATCAGTTGCTTGCTAGGTATCCACTGTCAGGGACGTTTCCACTAGCTACTGTTGATCAAGTGCTTCCAGATCCTCAGCCAGCTGCTAGAGGGGTAGCATGTTCCTGTTGGTACCACTAATCCAGTGCACCCTAACCTGGCTTTTGGTTCACCATGCTCCACAACAGCTTGCACCCCTGGATGCAGGCCATGCTGCCACCCATCCCCCTTCCTCCTCTCACCTAGCTAGGACCACGAAGCAGCAGCTGCTGTACCTTTCCTGGCTTGTTCTTCATCTCCCTTCTGTATCAGGAGGTACCTGGGGCTCTCTGGGAAGAAGGGCAATAGGATGAGCTCCACAACTGCCGGGATGCCAGTCAACCCCAGCAACACTGGCCAGCCTGCAAGAGAGCAAAGGACAAGGTGCTGATGAGTGCGGTGATCACCTGCGGAACAGTTGGGGACCTGAGCCTCGGCTTGTGGCTTTACCTTCACGATTTCCTAGGATGCTCTTGAGACCAAGGATCTGAGCTACAAGTATCCCGATGGTGATGAAGAGCTGGGGCATCACTCCAATCGCACCTCTCAGATTTTTGGGGGACATCTCTCCCAGGTACATGGGAACAACATTAGAGGACAGGCCTAGTTAGACAAAGAGAGATAAGTCCAGCATGTGAGCACCCACTACCTTCGCTGACTTGCTAGGATGCTTTTCTGGATGATGGCAAGCTGAAGTCCGGTAGATCAGGAGCAGCCAAGATACCTGGAGCTTACTTTCCACTGCAAAGTCACCTATTCTGGGCTAGCTAAGGTGGGCTCAGGCTAGAAGCTCACTGCCATGTAATGATGATCACTCTGAGCCATGTCCAAAGAGTTGGTGGTATTTTCCCCCCACCTCTTGCAACTAAATGCCCGAATGCTTGGCATTACCTCCTTTGCTAGGGTGAAGGTGTCACTGGCACCGAATCCATCATCACAACCAGTGCCCTTACTAGTCCATCTCTGAAGAAAGGATCAGGGTCAATCAAGGACAGGGAAGCTGAAGGTCAATCTTGCCTCAGAAGGTACGTCCCAGGCTGTCTCCAGTAGGATAAAAGTAGCTGTTGGGGTAGCAGTAATGTGAATTTTGCCTGCTGCCAGACCCCTTCTACACTATGTTTCAAACTGAGTCAAGAGGCCTGGTTCCACTCTGGATTTCAAATCGTAGTGTAGATGGGGTCTAACTGTGTGCCCAGACTTGGATTAGTTCCTTGACAGGGACAATAGTTTTGTCTTGTCTGCATAGGCTTTTTACCCTGCTTTTTCCAGATCTCTCTGCTGTGCAGATGGGTTCCAGTTGAAAAAGCAAAAAAAGCAATAAAGTTGAGGAGTTTGATGCTTCCTGTGGGCATTTAGAACCACTAGAATGGGCTCAAGCAGAAAAATTTGGGCCGTAAGTTTTGAGGGGCTTGGTTTGGGCCCACCATCTTTTCAATACCAAAGCTGTTCTTCAGAGTCAGAGCAGGACAGAGACAAGTCAAACCTGCGATCAGGGTTGCCAACTGTCAATAAAATGTCAGGCTAAAAATAGCAGTCGGCAAAAAGTCTGCAAAAATAAACTTTTGCTATCAGTAAAAACACTAAGCGGGTGCAGCTTGACTGGCGCTCAGAGCACAGCAGCACCCGGTGGTGTCCAAGTGACAACACAGCACCCTGCAGGGAGTGTTCTCTCAGCCACGTGCTGCTGCTGTGTCCCAGGCTGCCTCTAAAACTTCACACATAGGCTTCTTTGGGTGTCTGGGCCAGGATGGGGAGAATAGCCTGAAGCAGGCAGAATGATGCAGGGTGCAGTCAGGGGCAGCACAGCACAGTGTAAAACCATCACTGTAGTCAAGCAGGGTTGCCAACCTAAGAAATATTTTATTACTGCAAACTTTTTACTGACAACCAAAGTTTTATTTTTACTATGGTTGATGTTAAACCCCTTCTAACTGAGGCCTGGCAGCAGGGCAGGCCATAGCAGAAGAGTTGCCCTGCCCTGCTGCCAGCCCTCAGTTACACATACACATAAAAATCTTGGCATGGCAACCCTGCCTCTGATCCATTCTTGCCAGGTAGCTCTGGGTATCTAACAGCAACATTCTCAAATGCAACAGCAACCTGTCTCCTAGCAGGACAGTGGCCAGCAGCGGGCATCACAATACTTCCAAACAAAATCCAAGATACGGTTTCCTCCTCCACCCCCTGGAGGGCAAGATGCCCTCAAACTAAGCCCTGACCTGAAAGAGCGTGCATCTGATTGAGGGCATTCCCTCCCTGATAAAACTTCTGAACCGCCAGCTGCCCTCAAACAGTCTGGGCTGTGCCTTTACAGCTTGGGATGCATCTCTGCCAGTGGCAGGCCAGAGTAGGTACTGAGTCACAGGGGGCACTCAGCTGTCATTTGGGCATGTCACACTGAGTGGCGTCATCAGCATAAACCCAGTGTTGCCAGCTGTTACCATTGTATTTTTCATCTTGTGATAAAACCCCAACTCCAGGAGCCATGTGACTACCCAAAGCTGCGGATACCTTCAGGCTCCTGAAGTCCTGTCTACACTACGGCTCGTGCTGCTGCTACCATCCAGTGAAGCTGGTCTAATGTGTGCAAAGGGACAACATTAATCAAATCCAGCCCAGGCCTGGTCACATCCTCAGGGCAGACCCCATAGTTTAGGCCACGTCAGGTGGGCAGAGGAACACAGGTTAGATTTTCCTCTGCTCTGCCTTAGAGTTATAAATAACAGGAAAACCTCAGCAGCACTGAGCTTCTCACAGTACCAAAACCCATCTGAGAAGCTGGCTAAATATTAAGCACTTACTACAAGCTCCATACCACCATCATCACACTCCTGCTGGTGCACATTTAAAGCCAGCCTGGGTTAGCCTACACTACATTGCAGTGCCTGAAGTATAGCTAGCCACTATAATAGATCCCAGCGGCCCTGCACTGATAACAGGACCAGTTTCAATGTAGTCGAAATAGGTAGTTCCTGGGATGGACATCTGCATATGGCCAGGTCTCTAATGACTTCAGACTGGAAGAGGTGTTCTGTTGCTAGTTTAATCCAACAGGGAATATAAATTTGGCCTAAAATATGAGGAAATGGATCATCACTCAAAGGGTAGCAGGTTGTATTAGCTGTTGACAAATAGCCCATCTTAAAAAGGAGACTTTTATTACAGAACTTGTACAAACAGAGATGCTGCCACACAACCCAAGCTCCAGCCTCATCTCTTCTGTTCACCAGGGATCACCTTCATCAGCACTGTCTGTTGTGCACAGAGTCAAATATTGAATGGAGTATTTTACCACAAGCAAGCCTAGCACTGCCATGAACAGCATCACTCTAATACGCTGCTCGTGTACCCACCTGATGTAACATTCCCCCCTCCCTGGCCCAGAGAAACCTACCATTTGTCCTATGTGTCCGTACAGCTTTTCACCCACCTGCATTTATTCCAATGATGATTCGGGAGAGGATAATCCCCTCAAAGGTCTTTGCCACTTCTGAGGTCCCCATGAGGATTGCGGGGACAATGGAGAAGAGATTATTTATCAGTAAAGTGCCCTTTCTGCGAAGAGACCAAGCGGGTGACAAGTACAGGTCATTATCATTTTTACTACAAATGGTATCTAAAGGCCCCAACTGAGTTTGGGGTCTAGCTGTGTTGGGGGGCTGTACAAACAGAGGTGGCCCCAGCCCAAGGGAAATTTTATCTTTTAAACAGACAAGATCAAGAAGGGAAGTGTTATGATCCAGTTTTACAGGTATGGGGGTAAAGGCATAGAGAGGTGAAGCATCTAACCCAGGGCAATCAAACCCAGGGGCCAGCCTAGTGTTTCCTCTGTGACCCTCCCCTTCTTTGCTGCCCTCCTGAAGGCTTCTTGATCATCATTTCACACACAAGAGCACATGGCTGAGGAGAGAGAAGTGGCGATGGTGAATGCCAAGGGCATAAAATGCAAACAGTGGAATTGAACCACATGGGCCTTTGACAAATTAAGCTGCTCCCCACATAGATGGAACTGAAAGGATTATTATTAAGATGAGGGGTCATACAGGCGTGAGAGAGCAGGGTCTAATAGTCCCGACCGGATGGCCCATGTAGCCAAGTCCCCTACCTGCCCTCTGCACCCAGCCCATCCTACCAGCAACCACACAGGGAAAAGGAGGTGGTATCCCTTCCTGGTCTGTTCAGTAACTATTAGTCTGGTTGTATTGCGGCTGAGTGGATGCGGCCAGGAGCTGGGCAAACCTGCAGGACCGCTTTGATTCAAAACAGGGTAAACAGGCTCCATTGCTGACTGTGGTCAGATGACACCGAAGAGCCTTTGCTACTTACCTGCCACAATTGTTCACCAGAGGGCCAACCAGCAGGGACCCAAAGAAGCCTCCAAGTGGGAACATGGACACGGTGAGAGACCAGAGCAGCGTCTGGAAGTTGCTGTCCATGTAGGTGCCATACCTGTCCACGTAGGTTTGGTTGTAGAAGTTTTGCATGAACTAGAAAAGATCCGAGAGAGGCTCAGGAGCAAGAAAACATGATGGAAACCTTCATTCCTGCTATAAAAGCCCAACAGGAACAGAGTAATGCTCTGCACAAATTCCCTATATTTTCTTCAAGTTGAGGCACGCAGCATCTAGGGAGGAAATGGACAGGAAGCCAGGGACAGACTGGCTCTTCTGGGTGCCTGGCTTAGCTTTGGGGCTCTGCACCTCTTGGGCCTCGGCAAGCAGCGTCAGGAAGACAGGCTCGAGTCAAGACCAGCAGTACTCAATCCTTTGGCACCATCAGGCCTTCCGCGCCTGGATCAGGTCTCGCACCACCCCTGCCTGGCCCAGCAACACCTGGTGCAGGCCCTGTGTGCCAGGATAAGGCGTTGCTCTGTCCACATGCGCCAGGGTCAGGCCCCGTGTGCCTGCTTCTGTGTGCAGGGCCATGCTATCTGGCCTGTGGGGCTCCCCACAGGTCCAGAAATTTGGCACCAGGGGAGCCCTGCAGACCAGATGACCCGGCACCGAGGGCCAGATTTGACCCATAGGCCAGGGGTTGAGCACCCCTGGCCAAGACGGGTGGTAGTAACTGCTTGTGCAAGAGCAGGGATTCCTTATGGGGAGGGCAGGGCCATCAGGGGATGAATTTTGGCAATGTCCTAGAGATAATGGCGTTCATTTGACCGATGAGCATAAAGATAGTGGAGGAAAATAGGAATTTGGGGTCAAAAGTAGATACAGAGAGTTGTGGTCCTTGCAGGAGGGTAACAATTTGTTCCTGAAGATTAGGAGAGCCTCAGTACAGAGCAGTGGTGGATGGTGGAGCAGGGAAGGGAAAGGGCACAAAGAGACATACCGGCAAAAAGGAAGAGGGGGAGGATTACCGCCAGAGCCCAGTTCAATGCAATCCTGCGATCGTGTTTCAGCCTAACCCGCCGAAATCACTGCACGCAGTAAACACCAGGCAGAGAACAGCGTTAACACGTGCCTCGTCTCCCTTGGAGGACTCGTCCTTATCAAGCTTAGACTTTGTTCACATAGCAATGCGCATCACACGCATGCACACCCACGTGCCCTTCGCTGGTAGGGGTCTGCTTCTCATTATCCGCTCCCTCTCGGCTGTTACATGCTACCTACCGGAGCGGGAGAGTTGATCACGGAGACATTGTAACCGTACTGGAAGGACGATCCAAAGGTGGACACCAGTGTCACCAAGGCGAGCAAAGTGGTCAGTTTCTGCAGGGAAGAAGATGAGTTACATTGTCGGGAACGGTCATTAGAGGGGACCTCCAAAAGACGCTTTAAAATATAGGACTCCTGCCCTCCTTTGCTTATGAAGAAAGGTAGGCACCGCTTCCTCTGGATTTCCCCTTGGAAATGTCAGCGGTTAGCTCGGGTCTTCTGTCACTTTGTGGCACATCTGAGTTCTGAATGACGGCCCCTGAACTACGATCTTTAACCCAACCCTCTTTTCTCCAACTGGCCACTGAAACACAGCAGAACCTTACATAAAGGAAAAAAAGCTTTGGTAGAAAAACCAAAAGTCTCCTCCCTTCTTGCTTGCTCCATTTTTACTCAGTTATCATCTGCATTTGAGGAACGAGCAGCCCACCAGCCCCCTCCATCAAGAACTTCTCCATCCACTCTGCCTGACGATAAATGGGCGCTGTTTGTAGGAACAGGGTCCTTAGCGTCGCACGCCACCAGGCTTGACAACGGTCGAGTACTCGTCGCTACTGCATTCTCAGGCTACAGCCGGCTGTGCCGCTGTTGGCAAAGCTCTTTTTTAATAGCTCGCCACCGTAACTACATTGCTACCCCAGGCAATCAAATCCCATGCTCATTCACAAGCACATTATTTCCTCCAGCTGTCATTAACCTCACTGTCTTGGAGCCTTTATGTTGCCCAATTCCCTTAGGCCATCTGTGAGGACACAGGCTCTTTCATGAAAAGATCTTTCAGAGTGACCTCTGGTTTACCCAATATTCATTCAAGCTTCCTCCAAGATTTTAATTGCCCACACGGAGAGGCCCAGAGAGGTCCGGTGACTGCCCAAGGTCAGGGAGTCAGTCTGCCCGAGCGAGGCTGCCAGCTCCATGCCCAGACTGCAATGCCTCACTAAAAAGGCGCTACAATCCCTCGGTGCTGCTCAAGGCATTGCTGCCCCTGTGCGTGGCTCCAGGGAGCCAGGCAAACTCACCCCCTCTCTGCTCTCGTACAAGTTGGGACTCTCCTGCATCTCCTTTTCTGGCTTCGTGGTGACGTGCGAGGCACAAAGCAGAGTCTGGGCTTTTAAAGCAGAGGAGGAGCGGAGGGAAGGACCCCCCCCCACCGCTACAGCCAGGGTGTGCCCAAGTGCACATAGTAGTGCTGTTTATTGCCCCATCTACGTGATCTGTCCTCTGAACCCTCCTGGGCTCAGCAAGGAAACTCTGCAGGGCTCTGCCTGGCTCCCTCATGCCCGTGCTTTTCCTTCCCTTGGTCAAGGATGGTCAGGACACCCTGGGCCAAAGCAGACTTTTGCCGAGGTTTCACCACGGCTGCAATGTGCCCACGGCAGCAGGCTGGTGCTGCCAGAGAGCCTATGCCACAGTGCCCAGACCCTGCAGATGGAGATCATGTTGAGGGGTGAAGCACGTGGCTTCTCACTGGTCTGGAGACTGGAGCACAGGGCTGGGAGCTCCTGGACTGCTTCTGGCCTGGGGCAATTTCATCTCACTTCTCTGGGACTCAGCTTTCCTACTTGCAAACAGAGCTATTGGCACTCACCATCAGCCCTTCTTACCCAGGGATCCTAACATGGGCGGCTGGTACCTTCCAAGTCCGGGGGGACACCAGATCACTGGCTGAGGGTGGGGGGGTCACCCCGTGGCCGATCTCCAGAAGTTCCAGTTTCGTGACTGGCGCTTCCAGGGGGTGCATGGCTGATCTCAGGGGGTGCATGTGCACCCCCTATGCATTGCCAACAGATCCTCAGCTCACATGGAGCAATAGTGCCACTGCAGTGCCGAGCACCACTCCTGGAGGATGCAATAGGGCTCAGCTGGACACAGGAGTCATTGGTGGGCACCAGCCAACGCTGGTAGGGCACTGAGAAAAGCGCATCATGCTCTGGAGCCAGGAGCGGCACGAGGATTTTTTGCCACCCAACCTTGTAACGTACCTGGGACCGGATAAGGCTGGGCACCAGGCAGAGCCCTGGAGCAGCAGCTTAACTGCACTGGAGCTGCTCTGCTCGCTTCTTCGCATGCCCACACTCCTGGGGTGGCCCCAAGGGAGCATGTGGTGGTGGTGCATGTGAGCACACCATTCCTGCCGCCCCCTTCAATTTGCCACCCCAGGCTGCTGCCTGCGAGGGTTGGCCAGTTATGCCAGCCCTGCTTGAAGCCTGGTGCCCCCAATCATTGCTCAGCACCTCTAAAGACTAGGCTTTCCATATGCCAAGCAGCAGGCTGGGCACCTTAGCCAAGCAGGCGGCGTTATTAGTCGGCTCTAGTTTGTCAGAATACTTCAGCCAGGAGAAAGCCTTTCTTTGGGCTGCCCAGGGAAACAATGGAAGGAGCTGCTATGTGTTAACATAATAGCTGTTGGCAGGGCTCAGACAGCAGCATGGCCAGGGGTTAGAGGATTGGCGTGGGGCCTAGTGAGCGCCTGGCTGCGTCTCTTCAGGGCCGCATAGGCTACAAAACGTTCCCGACAGCCTCATCCCGCAACGACCCACTTTAGGGAGGGCAGGGGCAGGTCCCAACTATTCCAGCGCAGGTATCACCAGGCCTGGCAGGGATGGGACCTGGATGTGGTTTAAACACTGTCAGGGCAGCACCCTGCCTCCCTGCTCCCCTATCAGGAATCCAATCCAGAGCACAGAGCAGACGGCTCAGGGCCCTCCTACAGATCACAGCAACTCAAGGAAACTCGCTGATCCTGCTGGAGTCTTTGGCCTGTTGCTTACACACCCCAACAGATTAACCTCTTCACTCCTTGGATCTTTTGCCACCACGGGTGAGGCTCAAGTCACCTGTGGCAGGCAGGGGTCGAGCTCTCTACTCTCTAGTCTGGCTCTCAAAGCACTTGGTTACTAGTTAACTAAGATCCCTTTCAAGCTAATCAGAGATATGCAAAGTTCATAGATATAGGCCATAACTGGACTAGATTAACAACTGCTATTATTCTTGTCCATGCTCCTTTTATTGCTTTGCATTAATGAACTAAAATTGTCCTCCTAGACCCTCCAACCGACTGCCCAAGTGACTGCTTTACGGTTGCCTGTGTAAGGTGCCTAGCACAAGGATTACATCAGCAGTTCTCAGCCTTTTAGACTCGAGGGCCCCCCTTGGGAAATGAAAGCTCTTAGTTTTCACTCGTTTTTTGACTGAAAAGATACTAGAGCAATTCTTCTGTTGCAAAGAACACAGAAAGATCAGCAGGTCAGAATGTTTTTAGCACTATGGATACCTATTAGAAATCTCTGGGGATGCCTCATGAATCATGCTTGCACACCTAATCCGTGCTAACATCACGACTCTCATGGCCCCCCAGAGTTAAGAAGCGCCGATTTACACTCGCCGTTCCCTGTCCTTGACTGTTTTTGGCACCTGCCAGCGGTTCTACTTGAGGGTTGTTCTGCAGCTTGTAAAAGTATTCACACGGCATTCAAACTGAAGTCATGCGAACAAGATGACGACTGGAGCCGGGCTGTCCCCCATGCACGCACCACTCAGCGTTTGTTCTGGACACAGCTGATTTAACAACTGCTACCTTTGTCGCTGTTCACTTAAAGTCCATTTCAAACTCCAGGAACTCAGAGGATTCTGCACAGTGCATGTGACGGATGCAAGAGCTTGTTGCAAGCAGAGGGTCTAATGATACAAAAAGTAGAGCTAATTGGCAGCCCGGGCTCCTGCCCCATCACTGCTCCCCCAGTGTTCCAGCTGTAACAGCAACAGGAGTCTTTGTGCTGCCTCTGCTTCCTCTGCCTTCCCCTGTGCAGCAAAACAAGGAAGGGGGAACCGAGGGTAAGGCCAGGTTTATGGAGGCAGGGGGTGCAGGGAGGGAGTATGCAGTGCATCAGTGGGGGCGAGGGGCATGGGGACATGCCCAGTGCTGCAGTGGGAGGGGAGGGCACCCGCACAGTGCAGGTCAAGGTGCCCGTGGCATTCAGCTCCTGGCATTTGGCAGTCAGCCCCAGGGCTGCTTAGAAAAATTGGACAGACCTGATATAAAAGGTGCTCAACATACTACTTGCTACTGGGGGTGCACTGAAGGCAATACAAGCCACAACATGCCAGGCAAACAAGACAACTGGAAAAGAGATAAGGAGGGAAGAGGAACATCTCAAGGAACAAACGTTACAGGAAAGTGCCCAGCACGGAAGGGTTGGGGAAGGGGATTAATTGGTTCATAATCACAGACAAATTCCTAACAAGTTTCATTCCCCGTAAGCAGAAAAGCTGATTTTCCAGGCTGAATTCCTTCCAACGGCAAAAACAGATCAGCATTGGAAATTACCCTGTACATGCAAACACTGGAAACAACATGCAGTGTCCCACTGCAATAGCTGAGCCGCTGGAGAACAGCCTTCTAGTGCTAGCAGCTCTCGGGTGTAGCAGAATTAGTACACAGAAAGACAACGCATTCACAAACAACGTAGCAGACAGAGGATGGTAACCCCTACGACATGGAGACAATTTTGCCCAACCCCACGGAGAATTGTCCCTGAAAGAATCCAGGATAAAACTCAACTGGGATCAGCTATAACAGTTTAGGTTTCATCCATCTACCTCCATCCTGGGGTAACCATGCTAAGCGCGCATCTGGGCTAGGGACAGAAGTTGCACATAAACCGGTTTAAGTCATTAGAAACTGGCTTAAATCTGTAACAGACCAGAAGGTCATGCGCATAAACTAGTTTCGAAATAGCTGAAACTGGTCTCAGATAAACCTGGCTGAATGTAGTATCAGACTTAACTCATTTGGGTCAAACCAGTTTATGAAACTTCTATCCCAGACCCCTTCCTGGTTCAAGTTAAATCACAGTTCCCCAGCATTCTGGCATGCTTTCCAGCCCTGGGCTGGGCTGTGCCCTCTGCTCAAGCAGAGAAGTGTTGCCCCCCCCCACCGGGCAAACCCCAGCTGGGTTCTGGGGTCAGGGAGGGGGGTAAACTCCCCCCACCCCGAGTACAGAGCTGCCTTACTAAAACTTACTGCTGGCTGCGACTATGGACTACAAATCCCAAAGGCACCTGGAAGCAGGAAGAGGAAATGATTGATGAGCAACCCTGCAGAGTCCTGTTACTCTCAGTCTGGACTGCAAATCCCAGAGACCTCGGGGGCAGCACGAAGAGGAAGCAAACGCACAGCCCACGCTGGCTGTGTGCCAGACAGCTGTGCTCTAGCACCCCCTGACTTCTGGCCTGGGCCGCTGCAGGTATGTGGCTGCATTTTCCAAATCAAAAGTGAATGTGTGTTCAGGTGTTTCTCAGTTTAATCTTTGCAACTTAAACTAACCTGCAAAGACTGAATTGATTCAGCCTTGGGCTTTTTGACTGTACTTTTTTGGTGGTCGAATTTAATTGGCATACAAAACCAACGTAACATGTGACAGTCTGCCCAGGCCCTTAGAGAGATTAAGTGCTACTTCAGTTCAAACAACAAAGGATGGTCCTTTGATCTGAACAATCTTCAGTTTAAAAACCTTGTTTTAAGGCAAGCCCGGGTGTGATAATGCTTTGTTTATCTTTTCTTAAAGAAAGATGATTCCAAAAAGTTTAGTGCCCAGAACTAGACAGTCTCTCAAGGAGTTCCCAGAGCTTTTGCCAGCTGTTACCAGCATTTATTAAAACAGAGATACAAACCAGAACATCAGTTGCAACAATCTTCTGAGCATTTCTTGGCTCTCTAACCACTAGAGAGAGTCCATATGCAATAGAACAAATTCCAAGCTAATTAAGCCCTTTAGATGCTGGCTTTACATTGGGTGGAAAGCACACAAGCCATCCCATTGCCACCATGACATGTCCTGACCTGCCTGAGAGTATACTCTGAGTTTGATTCCTAGTTCCTGGACTCAGAGAAAGTCTGGGCAGAGACTGTTCATTCACTGTGTGGGGTGGGAATGAAAAGAGTTGCTGCCACACACCATTCAAGAAATGAGATCTCTTGCCCTTTAAGTCAATGAGATACAGGATAAGAAAGGGAGGAGGGAGATCAGAGTTATCAGAGGGACCTCATGTCCTTCCTTTCAATCAAAAGAAAAAAAAAAACAAAAAAACCGTAACCATGTTATATAACAAAATCAGTGCAATGGGGTCAGATGCAATCAGGAGTCCTTCAAGAAGCAGCAAATATTTGCTTATCGCATCAGAACAGTTCCTCAAAGATTTGCCTATCAGCAGCCAAAGAAGAACAGCCGTAAGGCAGCGCAGTAGAAAGCAGTAGGTGAAGGAACTTTGAATGCACGGATGCAGGGAGGGCTGCGCGACAGTGACTCAAACGTATCATAGCTTAGCACCCAGCCTCTTCCTTGGCTGATAACATCATACCACCTCTCTTCTCTTAGGATGCCAACACATTTTAGAAGCTTATTGCTATTTGCGGCTTCCTGCGGGTGCATCCAGGTACGCTATTACAGCACCACTTACAACAGCCTAGGACTTCATTCCCTGTCATCTCACCTGGTGCTTCACAGCCTCTCAGCAGATAGGCCTCTCAGCCCCCTGTTTCAGCAACACAAAACATTGTCCACAAGGACTGAAAGGAAAGACTCCCTTGTTCCCTTGACTAGGAGCAGGAGAGTGCCGAGGACTCGCACGTGAGCAGCACTAACTCCCCCCACAGGAAATCCATTCATACACACGCATGCATTGCGCGTGCGTGCACACACGCATGCGATCTGTTTACTGCAGGAAGGACATTCACAGGCTACAGAAGACAGCTGTTTAAATTTTAAACTGCAAAAATCCCTGGGGCAGGGACTCTACAATTATCAGTCCCTAGGTCCTTTGCAATTACCAGCCCTTAGTTCCAGAGTCCTGGTTTTGCTCGAGAGTGGTAGATACCATCCTGACACAAGTACTCAGGCACCACTATTACCTCTGTGGTTTCAGTGTTCATTCCCTTTATGAACTGCATGTAGCTTAATACTGATCTACCAGCAGAGATGTCTGCCTAATAGGTATTTCAGTTTCCTCCCAGCCAACGTGCACATCAGTCTACCAAAGCTCACTGTGTTCATGCTCTACCCCTGCTTTCAAATCCAAAGCAGAGAACTTCTCTGGAGACGCTTGCTACAGCTGCCAATAGCATTCCCACACCCTCTAAACAGCCTGTGGTGGGAGATGCATGTTTGGGGAGCTATTTGCATTTAATCCCGCTGCCATGGCCACAAAGCTGGGAGCCAAGGAGAAGGTAATATTTACGGTGAAGGGAACCCACTCTGGGGCAAAATCAGCCCACAAGGTATTATTACGGGAATAGCAGTACTAGAGCAGGGGAAGAAAAGGGAGGTTAGAACAGGACCTGGCACTACAGCAGGGCTTACCATCAAGAAGCCGTCAACCCTCATCCTTCAGAGAAGACTCCATATATATGCCTTTCAATATAGCAGAAAGAGCATTTTCTCAGCCTTGCAAACTTACCCCATTCCTGGGTATGCTGCCCCGTGACCCCTCTGCCTCCTTTTTCACTGGCATGGCTGCACGATCCAGCCGAGACGGTATGACAAAAAACAGCAAGGAGACAGGGCACTACAGGACATTAAAGCTCCCCCTGCACTTTGTTCTGAACAAGCACTTGTTTGCCCAACTGCCTACACTGTCCTCTTGGACCCTGGTGGGTTTATCTGCCCATCTGCCCTGTGTGGATTTTGCCAAGCCTGGCGTGGTCTCTCTGCCTGGCAGGTGCCTGGAACCCAGGAAGGGGCGTGTGTGTTTGCACTGCAACACAGCGTTGATTTCTGCAGTTCGCTCCAGAGCTACATAGGATCAGACATCACATGGAATTCAACACAGCAGATGGAGATGCCAAATATCTCCACCCTGCTCTGGAGGGGAGTGCCCAGTATCATCAGCCAGGACCTCTCCAAGCAAATCAGTGCTGGCACCCGTGAGCTTAGAGAGCTCATCTGACCAGTTCTCCCTCATAGGAGGATGGATCCAAGAGGAGGTGGCAGCAGGTAAAAGCATGGATAGAGTTCAGATTGCTGCAGCAGCGTTTAGCTGCCTTCACCAGGAGAAGGTCCTCTCTTCCTGTAAACCCTCCCTCTGTCATCTTCAAAGCTGCAGAACAGATGATGCAGGTGCCTTGTAGGCACTGCCAATATTCACAACACAACACCAATCCCCCCCACCCCTCAGCCCCCCACAGGCTTCTATGGAAAAAAACCAATGTGCTTATATAAAAAAAAATCATAATGCATCTGTGCGAGTGGGCCGAGTTAAGGTTTTGACAGCCAATTCCACCACGTGGCATTGCATTGACACCCCTGAGATTCATTCACAGGGTTGGAAGCTTTTGATCCACCGAATAGATCTCTGCCACTGTTGCTAATAGGGTAACTGATAGGAGCAGCAGGCGGTCATCCTCCAACACTAGAGAGGATGGGTTTCATACATATTTGATCACAGTAAAAAACCAAAAACAAACCAAAAACCAAACAGGCAAGACTTACACATTATAGATTCTAGTCCAGCACAGATCACCCTGTTTCCTCAGCTCTCGACTCCTCCTGCCTTATTTACTTCAGCTGCCCCAATTACATCTCTCTCTTCCCTACCCGTGTCTCCTTGCCTCAGTCCATCTTAGTCGGACACAAAAAAAGTCAACCATCATGAAAAATTTCAGGCCAAGTGGTTAAAACTCATCTCGGTTACAATAAGGAATAGAAACAGAAACTTACAATGGAAAATGTTGCACCATCTGATTAGCAGATGGTGCTGCCAGCTTCGCCCCTAGCAAAGTTCAAAGATGTACCCTAACCCATGTGAGGCCTTACCTCCCCTGAGATTTGAAACATGTTAACTCACCCAGTGGAGAATGCTTGTGTCAGAGAGGATGCGAAGGCTTCACCATGATGATCAGATAGCATATGGGTCAAGTTTTTATAAGGACCTAAGCCTCTTAGCCCTTTGAAAAGATGTCATGTGCTTGTCCATGCCTTTACTAAGGGCTAAGTTGCTTTTAGTGCTGTGGTAGTTAACCTGTTTTTTATTGAGCCACATTATCCCTGTATCAGCATCCTAGGAAGCCATGAACTGCCCACCCCATCCTCAGTGTGCCAGAGGGCTGGCCTCCTACCTGAATAGCTGCACCAGCTGCGGCGATAGCTCCATGGTGTGTGCACCTGCCTGGTAGGGACCGGACCGCATGCTACCCACTCAGCTCATACAGGCCCTTCAGTTTTGTGCCGGGGGGGTGGTTGGCATTTCAAGTGACACAAACACACAGAGAGCCGAGGAGGTTCTCTCACAACACTGATGAGAGCTTTATAGTCCCATAGAAAAATAGGGAAGAGCAAGCCACATACAGACAGCATGGGCGACTTGTCTTCCTTAAAATGTCAGTCATTTGTTAAATTACAGACACCCCAGTCATTTATAAAAACACCGTCACATAGTTTCTCTCTCTCTGCTCCACCCCACCCTTAGCTGCAGAGAGAGGTCAACAGGCTCATTTGTCTGTTATTACAACAGTGAATGACAACATCTGTGTATAAAAAAAATGGTAGGAAGGAGAAGATTTTGTTAAAATGACAAAAGTTTAGAAAGTGCATAGAAAGAGGAGCTGTAAACAGGACATTCTTAAAAGGATAGTGTCTCTAAAAACTCAAGCTGTGATTTTAAAATGCCAGTTAGGGAAAGGGAAGCATTAAACAAAAAACCAGATCATACTTTGGAAGCAATAAACCCTGGATTTGGAGGATACACAACACAACACATCTATATGTCCATTCACAGGCTGTTCCCATTGGATGGAGCATGTTCGGTAATCGCCCCAAGTTAGCTACCCTCAACAACAAACTGCCCACACAGCCGTGAATTTCCCCAAGAGGCCATGCAAACTCATGACACCTCAAATCTAGGAGGGCAGACGAGTTGCTGCCTGCCCTGCGGGAGGGACAAAAACACCAAAGGAAAACACCCAAGGATTTTAAAAAAGAAGACATTGCTAGGTCACTGTCCCCATCCACCCAGGGAGGAGGACCAGGACCTGGACAAGGTGCCTTTCAAGACCTTGTGCACCAGGAGTTAAATCTATCACATGCCCAAGACAGGTCCACTCAGAAGCTTCACCATTTTCAGGTCATCGTGATTTTCCTCCTCCCTGGATACACAGTGAGAAATCCACCTCCTAAAAAAGGGAAATCAAACCCCAAGAATAACGTCTAAGTTCCTATGAGACGAGAAGGACGGACAAAGTTGAAGTGTGATGTAGTAACATCTTCCAGGACATCCTGAGAAAGGAGCCAAGGCAGCCGCAGCTGGGATAGGACTTCCAGCCGGAGGCTTGTCCTGCGACTTGGCCTGCGTTCGATGTTCCTTTTCTTCCAGTGTTTAGCTCCCTCTATAGGCACGTGGTGGCAAGTCAAATACCTGTTTGAAACAAAAGCACGCAGTCAAAATCCAAAATGCTGTGGACTCTGAAGCATGGGGGCTGCTGTGTACAAAGTGAAGTCACCCGATGCTGGCAGAGACGCAAGCATTTTCCATCATGACATTGCTCCTACTGAATGTCCCAATCTACTGAATCAAACTTTGGAGCAGGTGGCCACGTGCCCCAGCATGTACTTGTGCCACCCCAGCTCTTTCTGTGGTTCCCTTTGTATCTTCCCACATTTACATGAGCTCAGAAAGACAGTGGTCCAAGTCCCTCTTTACTGAGACAACATGGGCTTCAAGGAACATTGCCATCAGCAACTGCCCCCACTTCCACTGAAGTCCCCGAGCGGAAGCACTAAGCACTAGCAGTGGGCAACCTGTCTGCATGCTAGCTCAGCACCTTCCTCTTCCTTGGCCTCTCACATAGCCACCCAGCTGCTTATTTTTAAGTCCTGCTTGGCTGCAGCAAAAGGAACTAAAGCTGCTTGCAGCAGCTTCTCTGGAGCCATTTTCCTTTCTCTGGCCTCTCTACAAGAGGGATTTCTGGCGTGGGTTTTTCACTCGTGTCAGTGCTGGTGCAGCCTGTCAAGGGAGATCCACAGTGTACACAACACCTAGTATCTTTTTAAGTTGCCATGTCCTTCAAACCAACTCTGAGCAGGACTAGCACTCCCCAAACCCTGCATGGCAGAAAGCCAGGCGTCTCTCTCAACTCTGGTGTCACAAGGAAAGGGGAACTGAAAGCAAGGGGCTTGGGGCTGTTCCATTATTTAAGCATCTCGGAGGCAACCATCAAAATGCTTACTTCCTCTTCTCAGGGTGGGGGCTACGCACAGCTTTGACTTCACCTTTATGCTTTCCTCCCCTACAAGGGGAGAAAAGCTTTTGATACCACAGCTTCCACTAACCAACCCGCATGCAACATTCACTATGAACAATGTGAGGTTCAAGTATGGTCGGGGTGAATCCAGGGCAGCTGCACCCCTCCGATTCCTGTTCTACTCAAACATTAAAACCAACTGCCGGGGAGGGGCAGTGGCATTTCTATTCAGGCAGTGCTAATTGACTTCATGGCCCATTATTGCCTCCCTGATTCCTAATAATCCCTCTCCGCTCCACAGGTGTTAACAACCCTCTGTCCATTTAATAGTCTTGGCACTATCCATGCCATCTTTTCTTCTGCTATTTTGCTGACTGTTAGCCATTCCTGGTAACGTCTCTCTTCTACTTCCCAGCCCTGCAGACTGTTTTGAGTTCTAGCTCTTATAAAAACCCTACCTCAGGTGTGATAATATTAACTCGATCTGTAGAAAAGGTTGACAGCAAAGTACTGGAGGCACTGTCCAGGCACCCAAGAGGGCTAGGTTTTGTTTTATGAATCCGAATAAGGAACGTACATTTAACTACAATGAACCTGGCATTAATGACAAATAATTTTGACTCTTTTGCCTAGTTTGCTGTGTGTTTTTTTTTTAAATTTATGTATAATCTAGCAAAGTAGTGGACATCCCAATAGTTATATTTGTTTTTGCTTTGTTGGCAAACTGAATAATACGGCACTAGCCTCCTAGCTTATTAGGGAACTTTCTAGTTTCTGTTTAACTGGAGAAAAATGTATGTTGGGTTATACGTGATGATGTGCCACACCATCTACACCCCGCTTTTCAAAATCCTATGTCCGCGCATGGCTACGGTGCTGGCTTCTTAGCAAGCTAGCTGACATGTGCAATAGAAGAAAGCTCCCAAAGCCATCAGCAAATAACATCTACATAAAACTCAGCACTTGCCTTCCAGGTGCTTTGCCCATAATGGCTGACCCTGCGAGATGGTCAGCTCCCTGGACCTTAGCATATGGGCTCTTGCAAACATGTAGGATGGCAGTCTCACTGTGCCACAGAAATACCAAATAACCCCATCTCCAAGTCCCTCCCCAATTTCTTTTTTTAAATGCCAATGGAGAGATAAAGTGAATATCCACAGGGCCTAAGGGTGAGATGCTCAGACTAGCATCAGAACTTGCTTATTCCCAGTCCCATACTGAGTCCATTACATCATTCGACCCCAGCATGTCCTTAGTATTAATATTAGTCACACTAATGAGAGCTGCCTTTGAACAGCTGTGGGCATGGAGCAAGAGATGCCAGCCTGCTGCCCTCTGCCCCCAGACAGCACCTGAGGAACTAATTTGTGCAAAAGCTGAGTATGCAAAGAAAAAAAAATTGTGGAGAGGAAAAAAAAAAAAATCCCCCTTTGGTTTCTCCATTCATCAGGGCAGAATGAGAAGTAGAAACATATGGCAGAGGTGCAGGCTAAAATATACTACGTCCTGTCCTCGCAGAGAGACTAGAGCTCCCAGTCTGTGGCCGTTCACCTCAATCTGGGCATTAGGACCATGGCACGTCAGAGTGTCTCCCTAGTGAGCATCGCCCTGATAAAGGCAGAAAGCTCTTGTGATCTGTTCCACCTCACATTGGATGCTGCTCCGTCTCCAGCCCACTGGACTCCTAGATGGGCAAAGTCTCAGCCCCTGCCTGCTCTGCACTGGATTCTTAAATAAGGCTATGTAAGCCTGGCTGAACATGAAAAACCTGACAGTCAGAAGAGAGGAGAGTTTAGTGGTTCAGCTGTTCAGGTACCAGCCTGGAGCCCCAAAACCTAGGTAAAAGTCCCTGCTCTGCCCTAGACTTCCTGTATACCCTCGAGCAAATCATTTAGTTCCACTATGCCTCAGTTTCCCTACTGCAAACCGAAGATAACAAGATGTGCCTAACTTTGAAGGGTGCTGTGAGGATAAAGAGACTAAGCATTGCGAGGCTCACCACTACCACAGTCACGGGGCCACAAAAGTGTCCAACCTCAGCAGACACTGGCACCCACCACAGATTCCTCTTCACATGTGGTTGTGTATACACCTGGTCTAAGGAAAAGCACAACCAAGTGTCCAGAGTACAGGTCTGGGAGCAAGGAGATAAGGGATCTATTTCTGCTTCAGCTTCCTCATTTTACAGAGGGGAATACCATGGCTTCCCAGCCTGACAGGGGCACAGTGTGGTTCAGTTTGTTAATACTGGACCACACGCTGCAACCCTGCAGGAGGGCTGTGAAACGGGGTTCCTGCAGAAGCAGTCGGAGCAGAATTTCTTCTCCTACACCAGCAGCTGGATTCACCCTGCTCTGCCTCCAGGTTGCCAGGGCCTTGTCATCCCAAGCACAGTACCCAGGGTGTGCAAAGGCCAGGCAATAGAGAGGACTCACAATTAGACATTTACCAAGGAAGACTGATGCTACCATTGTCGTTCGGAGATCCATGGCTCAGGTACTGGAGAACATGGCCTTCCTCCGGTCGGTCTCTTGCACTTCTCTGCTCTTGTGGGGCTCGGTCTGCTGGTAATGCCCGTCCGAGTTCTGCGGAGGCTGATTAGAGGCATTGTAGCGACAGCAGCAGAGGTAGGAGAGCAGCCGCGTCCGTACCACCCGGGTGCAGAGCACAAACATGATGCAGTTGGCGCCTCCCTGGAACGTGTTCCCAATTCCCTGCCAGGGGCAGGCAGAGAGCATTAGCCACAAATGAATCCCGGACACATCTCTCCCTAGCCCCAAAGTCAGACACTGACCTAGGCCATCAGGGCAACTGCTGCACTGGCAGGGCAGGGAAGCTATTGTTCCTGAACCTGAAAGAACTCAAGGGTCAGAGCCAGTGCCACCTATGATGCATTTCAACGCAAAGCTGTTCCACCCCAATGAAGTTCCTGAAAAACCATTCATCTCCTTCTCTAACCAGGAGAGCTGGTTTATGAAGGTGGAGAGAGATCTCTGACTTTGTTGTCAGGCAGACAGGCCATGGTAGGGGTTTGTGATTACCTAAAAGGGAAGGTCAGGAAGACTCGTGCCAAAGGGAACCAAAGCAGCAGAAGCCGCTCCATCCTGGGGATCACTCATCAGCTCCAGATGAGAGCAGCTTCTACTATAGCCTGATGAGACAGAAGGGAACCACTCTCTCCCCCAAATAAAGTGGGCACCATGGACTCCCATGGGAAGGGCAAGCTAAAGGAGTGATACGAGTCATATTTCCTAAAAGATCTGTCCTCTTCGGTGCCTCATGTCACATGCCAACTATTTTAGTTTGAGTGAGATGCTTCACAGTTTCCTGACCCCTGACAGATCTTTTTTCCTCCTTGATACTTGGACTAAGGAATACAATGGTGGTTTCAGCTCTTTCCTCTGGCCACTAGACACCAGAATCACTTCATCCTGAGCAGGGCAGCTGAATCAGCAGCTTCTAGTGTCAGTCAAGTTTGCTGCTTTGCTTCCTTAAATCGTGGACTTGAACAATTCACAACAGGTCTCCCAAGTCATAGTGTCATAGTTTCATAGATTAAGGGTCGGAAGGGACCTAGTAGATCTTCTAGCCCGACCCCCCGCCAGGGCGGGAGAACAACAAAAACCCCAAAACAAGAAACGGGACTCAAATGAGTCCAGCCAGGTAGGCATCCAGCCTCTTCTTAAAGACCCCCAGGGTAGGGGCCAGCACCACTTCCCTTGGAAGTTGGTTCCAGCTCCTAGCCGCCCTAACTGTGAAGTAGTTCTTGCGGATGTCCAATCTATACCTCCTCTCCATCA